TTTTAGGCCATTTGAAATTCTAATATGTAACATAATAAATTGGGGGCTCATGTTCAAGATCTGAATCAGAGACAAAATTCAATCTAAATTAAAATTTAGATCATAATTAAATTTATATTTATCAGTGCCAACAAGATTTGATCGTGTCTGATTATCAAGATTTTTTTTGAATCACCCTCCCTAGAACAACTAGAAAAATATAACAAAAATGAATTGCTTGCAATTGCCAAAGTCTTAGAACTAGAAGTTTAAAGATCAATGAAAATAACTGAACTAAAAAAGCGTACTATCGAAATACTAGTCGATGATGATTTGTTGCCCGAGGAAGCATTAGAGGAAGACTTTAGTGTATCTACTAGCCAATCGGGGTTGAGTGATAAAGATAAGTTAGAGATCCAGCTAAAATTGAAACAACTCGAGCTTGAACAGGCTCGAGTCGAAGTCGAGAAAAAGAGAGAACAAGCTCGTAGTTCACTATGAGAAAATAAACGCGTCCAGGCCGAACGAGTTCGTATCAAAGCCGAGAAAGAACAAGCTAGAATCGAAGCCGAGAAACAACAAGCTGGTATTGAAGCTGAAAGAGAAAATAAACGTCTCGAGGCCGAAAAATAAATTAGGCTGAAAGCAATGGAAATTTGACTCAACACTGATCGACCAAGGCAAAATGACAACTTTGAACTTAATCGATATGTTAAAGTACCACCATTTAACGAAAATGAAGTTGATAAATATTTACAACATTTTGAGAAGGTTGCCCAAACCATGAAATGGCCCACCGAAAAATGGTCATTATTATTACAAAGTGTCTTTACTGGTAAAGCACCAGAAGCTTATGCCGCTCTCTCTCTAGAAGATTGTACGAATTATGATAAGGTTAAAGCAGTTATTCTTAAAGCATACGAGTTAGTACCAGAGGCTTATCGCCAAAAGTTTAGAGGTTATCGCAAACAAGATCAAAACTTATATAGAATTTTCCCACGAAAAAGAGGTTTATTTTGATCGATGGTGCAATTCTTTGCATATTTACAAACTAAGACAATTATGTCTAATTGAAGAATTTAAACATTGTGCACGTGACGACCTCAAAACTTACTTGGATGAAAAGAAAGTTGAAACACTACAGGAAGCAGCTGCTCTTTCCAATGATTACACTTTAATACATAAAACCACTTTTCATAAAAATAAATTCCTACCATCTCAACAAAAACCTGTATCTATTCAAACCACTAAAGTTGAGGATCCTTCTAAAAAATCCAGCTCCTCTAGTTCGAAATCTTCATACAATCGGGCTAAAACTTCATCAAAATCATCAAGGCCTGTCTGCCATTTTTGTATAAAACCTGGTCATGTTATGTCCGATTGTTTGAGTTTGAAAAAGAAAAGGAGGCAACACCCAGTGCGTTTGTGTCAACATATGGACGTGGTTTC